TTTATGAGATCCACAGTCTTCGTTACCTATTTGTAACAGTATCAATATTAATCAATTCTATCAAATTTAAAATTAGGAGAAAGAATCATGCAGGCATGCTTTGAAACAAAGATAAAATCGTAAATATTGAATGTCGACACTAAACAAGTCATCTATCGAAAGGCCAAGAACTGTTTCATGCTAGAATATACAAAAGAGCTACAGATAACAACCTAGAAAGGGAAGTATCATTTAAATGCATTAATGGATAGTGGACTCATGGCACTGATGCCTGTTAGGCTTGGTTCCTGAATCCTACTATTCATCTATGAACATGGTTTCCAAGCACCTAATATTTAAAAAAATAAATAAGCAATAAATAATAAAAAACTTGAAATATGAAAGATGAAAGCATTTAACTGAATTCCTACAGCAAAACATAATACTCTTATTAAGAGTTCACTAGTTAAAAGAAACTTTGAACAAATGCGACTGAAAACCACAGATAAAAGGCATTTGAGTCTTTGAGGTTACAGATATGAAGAAACATCATCTAGTTTAAATTGTATCTATTGCATTCTTATATAGATTGACAGAAAAAACTTACATCCTCAACTGCAATGCCAAAATGACCAAATCCGGTCCCAATATCATATTTCTCAATCCCATAATCTGACAGAATCATCAGATAAAACATAGTATTAATGAAAAATCAATTTAGGTTGGTGGAGAAAGCACATACCCCCGAAAGGAGGCACGTCATAATAATATGTGCGCCTTCAATTGATACTTAGTACAGATCAAGAAAATAATATTCGAGAAAAACTGATGAATGCTTACTGTATGTAAGTTCAATAACAAAGAGTGAATCTTCTGGCCCATATCCAAGAAATACATTTGTATATTTTTCCTCGGGTATGTCACGTTTTCTAAGCAGTTTCATCCAAAGATACTCGGTGTAAAATCTGCAGCCACCATTTGATTATATTTACAGAACCAACTGTACAAAGAAGAACCAGAAAGCCAAGATAGAATGCAAATTATAGTTAAAAGAAGAGGCATACTTTATTGTTCTGTCTAAGTCCCCCACGCGGTAAACAACATGTAGCATTCTTCTCTTATCTTTCTTAACCCATTCTAAGGCATTTTCTTGGGTAGTAGTAGTACTTGCTTTTGCCATGTTACCTGCTGCACAAGCTGATTTTCTGGTGCCCTCTCCCCTAGACGAATTAGAAGTCTTAAGGCCAAAGCACTGTAACTGTGACACCGCTGGAAAACATACAGATTAGTAGGTAAGCAGCACTCCTTTTCAGTCCACCAATCTTTAAGTAAACTCAAATATTTTATGTCGCATGATCTTTCTGAAGTAGAAGCATCAGCGTTGAGGATCTTTCCTCAAGAATAGAATAAGAATTTTTTTTATGATTGATCCTAAGATTAGCAAGAAAAGAAGAAATTAAAAGCACAAATGGCATACTGTAATACTGAATTGAAAGAGGGACGTTATTGATGCATCAGATCAATTCTTGTAAACTTATTAATACATGCAACATTATAGAGATGATAAAGCATTTAAATTTTCTCTCACTGAACTTGAGCACAATGAGCAATTTCTAGACCAAAAGCTAGATAGTCAAATGCGAGTGTCACTATAATCCCATCAAATTTAAGTTCGTTCAATTCACAATTCTGATTCGATATTATCGAATGGAATTTAACAACAGCAACTATTTTAATATAGAAGACAGAATAATTAGATAACACGAACCTCTTTAGTTTGGATGTTTTTTAAGATTTAGCCCAAAAACTATATCGATCACTCCTTAGTTTTATTGAAGTATTTGATCAATATAACAAAGATGATGGTTAACTATGTTATTGCATACGAAGTAAAATGAAGATTGAAAACTTTTAATAAGTTGCCAAAATTCATTATTCGAGCAACTATAAACAATTTATGTAATCCAAGCTAAACTGAATGAGGCCTAATTACATTAATAATTTTGCAAGAAAATTGTAAACAAGAACACGACCTTGTGTCTATCCAGGAATTAGTGATCTATACATAAGTCCAAATTATTCTTATCACTGACTCCTAAACTCAAGCTCCAAATTTCATTCAAATACACCAGAATCTTGAACTGTTAAGAACCGTACAAATGCCAAAAGAATGAAAAGAAGATAAGTAAATTGAGAATCTTAAGTATATTACACCCAGTTTCATCTATTCAGTGACAAGTAGCTAGAAATTCAAAGGAAGACTCACGATTGGTAATCAGAAGCTTCATATAGCAGAAACAAAACAACATTGGCCATTATTTTCCCGCAAAAACTGTAAACCATTCGATTCATTATGTCAAAGATTAAACAAAAACAAAATCAGCCAGTTTTTAACTACTCAAATCAGCCAGAGAGAAACCTTATCCGTAATGCTGATTAAAATATACAGAGAAGCACTTACTTAACCATACAACAACCACTTGTCTCTCCAATTTAAACATGTACATACAACAAAATTTACCATCCACCATTCGACATTCCTTACGAAAAAAGAAAAAATACATCTGTGTTATTAACGAGTTAAACCTAAATCCAATTCATTGAACTGATATAATTGAGTCGAATTCGAGAGGTGCGTCAGCATAAAAACAATCATTCCAGTAAAGAGACAAGCCCAAACGAGAGCTCCCCGAAAAACTCAAAGACGATAGCGAGGGCCTAATCGATGACGCCATAGGAATTATCCTCACCATCTGCGTCTATGAAGTATGTACAAACACAATTTTATAGTTACAAGATAAGATCAGAATTTCTCGTATTAATATGGTAGGAGAAGGGGGAGGGAATAAGAAAGCGAGTGGCTGGCACTGGGGAATTGTACGGGTACGAGGAACCATCCAGATTAGGATGTCAAAATATCTCATTATTATTTGTCATCGATCATCTATTAAAGTGAAATTTTCAGTCTGCTAACGAATAAGAACCGGAATAGCAAGATATCTGGTCCTATCTCATTCAGTCTTAGTCCAATTCCGTATTGCCATGCTTGATTTCTCCAAATGAAGCAAGAATTCTCTATTTAGTCGGAGAATTCGGTTAAGAACGAGGGAGATATCCAGTTTTGAGTATTTTTTTCTATATTTTTAAATTTAAATTGTATTTAAAGAAAATAATTAATAAATAAATGAAAATTGTTAATATTTTAATCTCATCACATCCCCGCCCCGTCCCGTCCCGTCCGTTCATCCATGCAGTTCGACGGAGCGACATACAATGGTGCCTCAATCCTATCCCATTGTTATATCTAGTAGGGTGTGTTTGGGACACATTCTTTTAAAAGAATGTATTATTGAATAGTAGATTGATGGAGAATATGTGATTAAAAATGAAGGAAATGTTATTGATGTGATGGAAAATATTATGTTATTGAAGAATGTGTGGTTGAAAATGAGTAGAAAAATGAAAATGAAAAAAAATAATGTGTACCAAACAAGAACCTAATCAATCAAATATTACATGGCTAGCTTCATATAGAATTTTAGACAACTAAAGTTCATTTTAATATACTTCAAATGCATGAAGTGGGGACATGTTTCAATTTCTTACATTGACCAGCTTTTCACTTAGCCCCTGTTTGGTGCACATTTTAGAGTAAGAATGTATTTTTACTGTTGATATGATGAGAAATATGTGGTTGAAAAAGAAGAAAAAATTATTAATGTGATGAAAAATAATATTTTATTGAAGAATGTGTGGTTGAAAATGAGTAGAAGAATGAGAATGGAAAAAATAATATGGCTCAAACAGGGGGCTTAATTGAATTATCTTACGGCTACATATG